ATATACGATCTCATGCATGCAATTCATATATGTAGCCCCTCATGCAATCTCCTTAGGGATATATTAGACCCGGTCTAAATTTTCAAATTCAAACGTATGGGGCGGATCGTAGCTAGGCCTGCCCAGCTCGGACTGTTATGCCATGGACCCGAGTTCACCTTATCTAATTAATACAATGTCATTTTGCAATTCGAGAGTAACCGTGTTGTTAGTGGCACCGGTTTTCCTTCACCAATCTGATTTTTTTTTTATTTGTCAAAAGAATTCAGAGACATCAAAAATCGTGAATATATTGTTACGTGAATATAGACTTCAAGAATTATGAATATAGAGTTCTATAATTATGAACCTAAAGTTCTATGGTTGTGAATATAGAGTTCAAAAATTATGATAATAGAGTTCTATAATTATGAACATAGAGTTCAGTAATTATGAACATAGACTTCTAAAGTTCAAGAATTATGAACATAGAGTTCTGTAATTGTGAATATAGAATTCAATAATTGTGAATATGGAGTTCAAAAATTATGAACATAGAGTTCAATAATTATGAATATAGGCTTCAATTTTTCGATCATTAATTTGGAGTAATTAACTCAGACTCAATCCATCAAGACTATGTGGTCTAATGGTACCCGGGTTGGACTTTCAGATTCGAGCCTCTCCCTTCCGATATAAAAAAAATTAGTTCATACCCATTTTAATTATCTCCATCGATTAGTAAAAGATTTGTAGAACAATTTGCATACTAAAAGTGAAGAGATTAAGATTAAATTAATGAAAGGATTCCAACAATTACAAAAGTTGGCAGCTAGATGCTTTGCTTACAAGAATAGTGTATTAAATTTATCAACTTTTTAAAATTGAAAGTGTATATATATATATATATATATATATATATATATATATATATATATATATATATAAATAATATAAGAATTGCTATTCATTATAAAATTAATTCTTTTTTCTTAAATAATCTATGGGACTTTAAAAGTGATGTTCAGAGTTCTAAAGTCAATGGAATCTGCGTGACTGTATGAGGATTTTATTCCTATATTAGGGACTATGAAATTAAAGCCAGTTTTGTAGGTTTAGTTTAGGAACAACAAGAATCTTTTCTTTTTAATAATTAAAAAATCATTTGAGAATCTCTTCTATGAGCTAATTTGACAAGACATTTTATTTGTGGAATCTATAAAATAGAATAATATTTTGCAAAATACTAAATTTATTTTGTTTAACGACATTAATGTTAATTATAAACACTAGATAAATATAAATAAATAGACAAGTATGTATATGCAATTCTGCAGATCAGAGCAAATATATATCCTTTATTAATTTTGATAAGTGAGCTTAGAGGAAGGTCATTGGTGGACTTGGAGTTTTCTTTGGAATTAAGTTTTCTTTGGATTGCCAACCACCAGGGACGGAGCCATAAAATTATTTGAGTGCAGTGTGAAAATTATGTCTAAAGTGGGCAGATTCCTTGTGTGCACCGGTATTTGGTCCTGTCTACTAACCCATTGAGTCACCGTGATTTACATCCTCCCATATGCTCTGTCGGGTCAGAGTGTGGGGGACGCTTAGGGTTGGGGATTCAGTCTTTTGGGGTAAGAAAATTATTCGAGTGGGGGCGAAGTTTAAATGACATTATAAATGTCAATTACAAAATATCAAAAAGTCATAATAAGGTTAAAATGTAAAATACATTATAAATTACAATAGAATGTTTTTAATATATTACACAATAATTAGAGTTGGAGCCAAAAATATCAATTAGATAAAATAATTTGAATAACATTATATTCATAAATACTTTTTAATTTTAATTTTTTTAGTTAGATCAACTTTAAGTTTTTCTAAATTAATTTGAATACAATGAAGTATACTATAAACTTGTATACTACATTAATTAAATGATTCATAACAAAGTAGACTAAAAGAACATTTAATTTGTTAATTAAATGGTTCATAAAAGTAGACTAAAAAATATAAACAAGGGAAAATAAGAAAATGTGTTACTAATGAGATTTTAACCTATGACCATACACATTTTTTAACATCAAATAGAGAGTTCAACCAACTAAGATACTCAAACTATTAACAATTTAAACATAAATATAGATTTTATCTAACATTTAATGATATATATATATATATATATATATATATATATATATATATATATATATATATATATATATAAGGGTGGGGTAGGGGGAGTGGGGCAGCTGCCCCCACTGTCCGCATACTAACTCCGTCTCTGCCAACCACCTTGTGTTCAGTTGGCATCTCTGTAACTCTTTTTGAGATAATAAGGTCATAAGATTGAACTCTGGTGGTGGGTATTAATTATTTGGACTATAATAGATGAAGAAAATATATTGAACAGATATTACGTTTGTAATAGAGTCGATAATACTAAAAAAAATAATTTTCTTTCGATTGAATTTTCAAATGAAACTAGGACCGACTTGATGACCTCTCCTTAAGTCATATATATATATATATATATATATATATATATATATATATATTTGATGGCTGCTCTTGGGCTGACCTTTAATAATGTGACAAGCTCAATTATGTTTAACTCTATATTCACCATTTTGAACTCTATATTCACAATATTAGAATTGAATATTCACAAGTTTAGATCTCAATACACAAAATTACAGAACTCAATATTCACAATTGCATAACTCTATATTCACAATTTTTGAACTCTATATTCACAATTACAAAACTCTATATTCACAATTACAGAACTCTATATTCACAGTTTCACAACTCTATATTCACAATTAAAGAACTCTACATTCACTATTACATAACTGAATATTTACTCGCTGAGTTGTTTTCAATAATTTTTTTTTAAAAAAAATCATTAATTATGAATATTCAGTTCTAAAATTATGAATATAGAGTTCAAAAATTGTGAATATGACCCAAATCCACCTTGCAAGATGGAACTCGATCCATGGCATAACTATCCTCCTAAGTCCTAACATATTGATGGTTGCTCTTGGGCTGACCTTTAATGTGACAAGCTCAATTATGTTGGACCATCAAGACTGAAAGTGTCTAACGTGGCATGTCATGTTCTTTAATTTTTTTCTTTAAAAGAAGGTAAATGTTTATTGTGCTAATTTAATTAGTTATTTCATTATTTGTATTTAATGTATTAAACAGTAAATTTTGATTGTACATTGTATTTCATTAGAACTAGCATTATTTTTTTTATACCAAAAAAAAAAAAACTAGCATTATTTTTTCAATAAAAGATATTGCATGAAGCAATCTTAAATAAGTAGATAATTTGGTTTTGTATCTTTGCATAGACAAAAAAGTTCATCACCTTTATTTAGAAATTTTAAATACCCATCCAAACTCAAACTCAAAAAAAAAAAAAAAAAAAAAAAAAACAAAAAACAAAAAACAAAAAACAAAAAACAAAAAAAAACACACACACACACACACAATTAAAACTTTTAGTATGTTACCACCGGGTAGCCTACTCAGAAAAATACTAACATGACATCCACGAGCATAATTGGTTACTAAGTTCGCATCTTTTTAAATTTGATAAAAAAGAAGAAAAAAAATAAAATTTGAAGTCAAGTCAGGACTATCTTATTTCTCTTTATCGATCTTCGTCTTTAAATTTGGAGATTAAAAATAAATATACTTTTAAATTTAGAGATAGGTGAGTGTTTCCGATCCAATTTAAAGACCATAAGATCAGGCAATACATCACACCTCTTTTTTCATCATCAAATCTAAAGAAAAATAAGTAGAAGACTATAAATTATTGTACATGTGAATTGTGACCATGCAAAATTAACGTTTCATGACAATTGTGGCAAGCTTTCAAACCCAGCGAAGAAAACAAGAAAGCATGAAAATTACATAATTGACATCATATCCCATTATAAACACCTGTTAATGAGACAAAATCCAGAAACTGCCAACTCAGAATTATGCGTGAACATGTTTGTTAGGTAGGACAACTTGTATTGCACATGATGTCTCTCTCAATCTTTTAACTTTTTCGCAGTTATAATGTGGGGGTTTTATCTTTTTATAAAGTGACACATTATAAGTATCAAACACTTTGATCTTTTTTAACATTTTAACAATTATAATGTGGGCGTTTCATCTTTTTTTATAAAGTGATTCATTATAAACATCAAACACTATGATCTTCTCACCTAACAGATCGCTTAATCAACTATAAATTAACTCTTTCACAATTCTGATAAAATTGTAGTGTGGGGCCCTAGAGGACGAACGAATGAAGGATAGCATCCAATATCTTTAATATCTTCATGTTGTTCACCCATTGATTCACAACGTTGGAAATTGACACCACCAAACACCCCCCACTAACTTTGAAAATCATGAAACTAATGAATATCTGCACCATTATTACATCATTTTTTTTCAATACCTAATTATACCTTCACAAACAATCATCCAACCAAACCACTTCCCAAATCCTTTTACCTCTTCAAAAATATCATGGTACATAGTCAACATAAGATTCAATAATGCACTTTGATTTACCAAAAAAAAAAAAAAAAAAAAAAAAAAAACTCAAAACCCTTGCTTAAAAGTATGCTATGGGTGAAACCCATTTTTTAACCATAGCCAATAAAGCATTACAAAGAGATAAACTAAGGGCAAAAAGTCAATCGACAGCTCCTATGGAAAGGAGAACTTAGAACATTGTGATTATTAAAAGTTACCCCAAATTCAGCAATGCTTAGGTGTAAGTCTGCATGACTGACCCTGAGCGACGAGCTCAGCCGAGCAGTATTAGCAAGAATTAAACTTGTAAAGTTCTGATACAAGAAGATCATGCTCCACCGCTCGATCACCCCTCTCGGGGGAAAACAAGCAGTATTCTTGAAATAAGCATGATTAACACTATGTTGGATTGTTTGTTCCATCTAAAGCCAAGATAACAGATATCATATATGGGCAAAAGCAAATTCAAGCAAACAACAATACTAAGACATGAAGTGATGATGCATTATTGTTCAATATGGCGAAAACCGATAAGACTGTACAATAAAGCATACTACATGACAGCAAGCTAAGAGTGCAACAAACCAGTAGAGAAAAAGGCAGTCCAAAATCAAGCAATAGATCCAAAACACTAATATCTACCCGGCCTGATCAAACTAGAGCGAAGGATTCAAGGATAACGCTTCCAAGAGTTATCCTCCCTGTTGTTTCTGAAAGCACAACACCCCACCGAGTATACGATAATAAGGAAGATGAGGAAGATGATGTTGATGATCGCGACTTTCTTCCAGTCCGTCTTGATGTTATCAAGCAGCCCCGCTTTGCACGATTGGCAGCTGTAGCATAACGTCTTCGGGTCATTGCTCCAAGTAACACAATCTTGATTGGTCAAGGACGAGGTCGGGGTCTTGGTCCAGTTCGTTGGGCTCACATACTCGAAGTTGCAGTCATTCGATGGCTTGCAGCATCCCGACTGCAAACAAAACCGCGATAATTTCATACACATATAGAGTATGTCACTAATTAATCACCATATTTACTGATATTAGAGTGTGTCTAGATTGAATTCAGGAATCATGACTAAACTCCGAGTTTAATAATCTAGAACACTGCAGACCAACCAAAGTAGGAATCCTTAAATCTCCCCCCCAAAATTACAAGGATTTCAGCTACTTTTCAGTGTTCTTAAAGACTTAAACCTTAAAAACAAGATGAGTCCATAACAGTGATGACACCAGTTTATCTGCTGCTCATAACAAATGTGTAATTTGAGCTTTCTTGTTAAAGATCCAGTCTTGTATGCTTGTCTAGCTAAACTAACATACCTAGATTTCAAAACCAGTGATTAGGGGCAACCCCAGCGAGGTTAGTCAAACTGTTTACTACTAGGTCTTCCAGTCAGCTCTGGACAACCTAAACTGGTTTACCTCATTATGGTCCTTTGTTAGCTAGGTCACTTTACCTCATTGTGGTCTTTGTTAGATAGGTCATAAGGTGGAGTTTACCCAATACACAATATACCCTCGGGTAGTGGTTAATGGTTTTCCTTGTCACCCCAAAACCAATGATATTGATAACCACAAGGTTATCAGTTTGACTCTCAGTGATTAGGGGCAACCCAACGAGGTTAGTCAAACTGTTTACTACTGGACCTTCCGATCAGCTATGGACAATCTAGGCCAGTTTACCACCTTGTGGTCCTTTGTTGACTGACTCATAAATTGGGGTTTACCCAATGCACACAATATACCCTAGAGTAGTGGTTACTGGTTTTCCTCGTCACCCAATAACCAATGACTGATAACCACAAGGTTATCCGTTCGACTCTCGGTGAGAGAGTCCACTATGGGCAAGCTCAAGCTAAGCCCTTTGCCGGTTAGATCACAAAGCGGGTTTACCCGGTGCACATTCTTGGGTGGGTACTCATCACCCCCAAAACTAGTGATTAGACATGGCAGCTAAGCTACATCTAACCAAGAGCATCAAATTAAGCTAAAGTAAGATGCATATATACCTGAAGGGCAGAAAGGTGTCCTTTGTAGAAATCATTAGCAGCAGTGTTGGAGCCATCATCAATGAGCTTCTGGCAGATCTTACTATCCTGAAGGCAGCTCCCAATTCTACCCCAGTTATTATTAACCCTTTTCTGCAGCCAATGAGAGTAATCCCCAAGCCTATACTCCTTATACCCTCTCCCAGACAGGGCCTCCCCTGCCCCCTTATTAGTCACCACAAAAGCAAAAATGGTGAAGCTGAAGAGAAGCACAATGAGCAAGAACATCACCAGAAGATAGACCCAGAGAAGCCAGGTGACTCTGCAGCACGAGCCTATGAGGCCGGCGAGTGAAACCACCATGACGAACACCCCCAGAGCTATCACCGGCTTCTCCAGGAACTGCTCGCACTCCGTGTTGGCCTGCCGGGACAGCCATATCCCGCCGGCGAGGATTGGGATTGAGATCAAGAACGTGGCGATGTTGAGAAGACCCAGGAGGTTGTTGCTCACTTTCACCATTTTTGGAAGCGAACCCAGTAAAGAAAACACGATTTCTCGAGTGGGAAATTGGAGAAACTAACAGAGAATTCAATCAAAATAAAAAATTTTCAGAAATGTTGAGAAAAAGATGAGGCTTTTAAGTGTGGGATTGTTGGAAAAGGCGTATATATGGAGGAGATTAGGGCGAAGTAGAGGTGGAGTTCGGGGAAGGGGCCAGGGAGACGCGTATAGTAACGTGCAGATATTGGAGTGTATGAATCCCAACTGGGAAAGCGGTTTCCGAGATGGGGTAGATGAGAACGACAACGGGAAACACACACGTTACACGTTTTCTCACATTTGGTTCAACCATCCAAATCATTTTTGTTTTTACATATACTAATTTCGTGAGGTTTATATATACTTTATACACATGAATTTGAATGTTTTTGGTAATTGGAATCGAATATGGTAATCATTTGCAAAAGCACATGACTAAAGAAAGTGGAATTAATGTGATCAACCTAACTAAGTTGATCAATGTCTAGTTTAAGTTAATTTTACAGTAATATTTTTGGTAGTTTATCTCCTTGTCTATTGACCTTCTTAGTTTGAATTAATTATAGTGATCCTTTGTTTATTTTTCTAAAATGTTGAATTCTCAATTCCAAGGGCTCTTCACACTTTTTGAAAGTCACAGTGACTCAATGACTCAACTGACAGAGTCAAATGTCGGATGTGTACAAAGTATCTGTCTACTCAATAGTTATGTTGTAAAACCGTGTTCAGCATGCGCATGGTGAACACGAGATAGATCCATAATTTCTAAGTTGTAGATTCATAATTTCTATACTGTAGATTCATAACATCTATACTGCAGATTCATAATTTTTATACTGTAGATTCATAATTTATATACTGCGAAGACGAAATAATGCGATTGCGAAGAGAGAAACGTCGTTAACAACAAATGAAAAAAACAAAATTATGAATCTACAGAATAGAAATTATTGATCTACCCATGTGCTTACCATACGCATGGTGAACATGTTTTCACAGCATAATTTGCAATGTCTACTTTAGGCATAATCCTTACACTGTCGCAGCAAAAAATTAAACATTAATTTTTTCTCTCAAATGCTGTCTATTGAACCATTGAACTAAACATATACTGAGTTATAATGGTTCTTTACTGATTTAGAAGCAACACATATTACTCAAAAGATCTTAATCAACAAAAGATCACAAAAAATAAATCAATCGTAAATAAAGAAGACTAAATGACAATCACTTGCTTAACCAGATGTTGACTATCAGATAGAAAAATATTGTTGGATTGTAGCACGTGTATTTCTCCAAGTTTTTGACCATATCTGACTAATACTTTTTTTTTAACGGAAAAAAAATAGGTTTTAAAAGGGACACGCAATTATTAAAGAAAAAGATTGAACATGGAGAACATCACTAATCTGACAATTTGCAAAAAGCAAACAAATTTTTAAAAATAATACTCCGTAACAAACTACTATCCTTATTTTAAGTGATTAAATTAATTAATAAAACAAATTAATTTTTTAGAAAAATTTATCAAATAGGACTTCGAACTTTAACTTAAAATTCAATTAGTCCCTAAACTTTTTAAAAGTACAATTACATTCATTAATAATTTATTTTGATGCAATGAAGTCGAAAAATCGATTAATGACTTGCTATCACATGTCATTAGAGTTCTGACAACCCCTCAGCGATATTCTAGCAAAATTTCAAGCTAACAACCGGTCACGAAGAAGGAGACCGAGGTCACCTTCTCCGTAGAGAAGGAGACCAAGGTCACCTTCTCCGTAGAGAAGGAGACTGTTGACAGTCACATGTCACAGAGAATGAGACCAAGTAGTCGCCTTCTCCAGCTAGAAGGCGACCAAGTTTTAGTATTAGTATAAAAAACGTATTAAATGTCAACAAGAAATGAATTAGATTAGTTGGCAAAACATATGTTTGACAATAGTAAAAGTTAAGGGTTTGAATCATTTGGCATAAATGTGTTTTCTATTCAAATTAATTTTGTTTCATATATTTGTTAGGAATATTTTTATAAAATTTCGATGTATTTTATTTTTCGCACATATCCAACAATATTTACAACTATATTTCTTAGGTAATTTATTTATTTATTTTTTAAAATTATCTCTTTTGTTTTAATGTTTCGTCGTTACTGAAAAAAATTTCTGAATCCATCTCTACTTCTTCGCCCCCTCAATCGAATTTCTGACTCGGCCCTTGGGACCAAGTAAACCCCACCCATATATAATAATTCACAAAGCAGACAAGAAAGATAAGTAGCACTAAAAATGTTTATTTGCATATTATAATAATCAACATACTTTCGTGTTGCATAGAAGTCCCATAATTCACAGTGTAATTAGACACGTCGAGAGGTAAAAACGGAAAACCAAAAAAAAAAAAAAAAAAAGAATCTTTATATATACTAGCCAATACTTATGAGAAAAAAGAGCAACAACATTAAGTTGTTTTAGAAACTCCCAAACTAGGGTTGTGCAAACCCGACCCAACCCGACGTACCCGTCCGATCCGAAGTCCGAAACCAACACATCCGACCTGGCCGTGGTCCGATTAGCCATATCCGATCCGAAGCCCTAAATGACGTCGGATAAAGGAGGTCAGATAGGGTTTGGTTTTTTTCCATCCGACCCGTCCGATAATTCGAAGTATCCTAGGGTTAGGTTTTATGTGTATGCTAGACGACGTCGTATGAGGTGAGTATATATGTATGTTGAAGCTCTTGTGAAGCTAGATGCGCAGCCCTGCTCTTCTCTGAGACTCTCTCACTCTCAGATCTCTTCTCTCGTTCTCTTCTCTCGTTCTCTGCTCTCTACTCCTCTCAATCTCATCCTCTCATTCCTCTGAGTCTCTCACAGTCTCACCTCTCTCTAGTCTCTACTCTCTGAGACTGAGAGTCTGACTGTCTGAGACTCTGAGTCTCTGTGGACTGTGGAGTCTTCGACTGTCCGATTGTCCGGTGGGCGGTGGTGGACTGGTGGAAGCCCTTCTCGAGTTGGTGGTGGAACGTGGACTGGTGATTAGAGGCCCTTGTTCTCCGGGGAATATTAAGGGGAAACCAAGTAAAGCAGAAACCCTAGTTTTTTTTTTTTTTTTTTTTTTTTTTTTTTTTTTTTTTGTGATCTGTTGATTCTTTTCTCTGTATGTTCATATGCTCGTATATTTGTGTTAGATTATGCTATGTTGTGTTTTATTTTCTGATCTATTATGGTGGAAGCAGAAACCCTAATTTTTATTTTTGTGATCTGTTGATTCTTTTCTCTCTGTATGTTCATATGCTCGTATATTTTTGTTAGATTATGCTATGTTGTGTTCTATTTTCTGATCTAATATGGTGGAAGCAGAAACCCTAGTTTTTGTTTTTGTGATCTGTTGATTCTTTTCTCTCTGTATGTTCATATGCTCGTATATTTTTGTTAGATTATGCTATGTTGTGTTCTATTTTGTGATCTATTATGGTGGAAGCCCAAATCCTAGTTTTGTACTTGTGATTTGTGTGGACTGTGATATTGTAATCTGTTTTGAAGTTCCAGATTGCATCTCACTTGTCTCTAATTTTGTACTTGTGATTTGTGTGTACTGTGATATTGTGATCTGTTGAGAAGTTCCAGATTGCATCTCACTTGTCTCTAATTTTGTACTTGTGATTTGTGTGGACTGTGATATTGTGATCTGTTGAGAAGTTCCAGATTGCATCTCACTTGTCTCTAATTTCGTACTTGTGATTTGTGTGGACTGTGATATTGTTGATACTTGAGAAGTTCCAGATTGCATTTATTGGTGGAAGCCATTAAATATTGAAATAAAAGTTAAAGGCTTGGATGTGAAATTATCAAGTTTCAAACTTGAAATTTCCATTTATTGGTGGAAGCCATTAACTGAAATCCAGATAATGATGAATTGGATACAATTCCTGAATCTGGATTTCTTTCATTATTTGAGTATGTTTATGGATGTATTACCCTTAATTGAATATTTGAATGTAAATATGTAAATATGAAAATGTGAAATCTTGATACATGATGACACAAAAAGTGTCTGAATCCTGATTTCTTTGTATGTTTATGTGATTGTTGGCTTGTTGCCTTTGCTGAGTAATTGATGCCCATCATTTTAGATGGAAAGCATCAATGTTCCTGACTCTGGACCTCAACCCTCAACTTAAGATGGACATGGAGGACAAGCCCAAGGCACTGAGAATCCTGCTCAGCAGCCTCAGGTTGCTCCTGCTGTTCCTGCAAAAAAGAGGAGGGTGGTTGAGTCTAGATCTCCAGTCTGGGATCACTTTGAAAAGATCAAAAACTCTGAAAATATAGTGGTTAAAGGCAAGTGCATTTACTGCCTGAAAGTGTTTTTCTGTGAGTCTAAGAAACATGGCACATCATCTTTGAAAAATCATATGCTGGCATGCCTTAAAAATCCTGTTTCAAAGGATATGAGGCAGTCCCTTCTCACATTCAATACTGTTTCAACTTCTGCAACAGAGGCTCCTGTGGGGGTTTTAGGGACTTGGGTCTTTAATCAAGAAGCCATTAGAAGGGCATTATGTGAGATGATCATAATAGATGAACTTCCTTTTAGGTTTGTTGAGGGTCAGGGGTTCAAGAAGTTTATTCTTGTAGCTTGTCCTAGGTTTCAGATTCCTTCTAGGTGGACTATTTTTAGGGATATCTACCAAATTTTCCTAGATGAGAGGTTGAGTCTTAAGAAGTTGTTTAGGGTGGGCACCCAAAGGGTCAGTTTAACCACTGATACTTGGACTTCTGTTCAAAAGATTAATTATATGTGCATTACTGCACATTTTATTGATGACCAGTGGAGGCTTCAGAAAAAAATAATTTCCTTTGTCCCTGTTTCTTCTCATAGGGGGGAGTATATTGCCAAAGCCTTAGAGAGTTGTCTGTTGGAGTGGAGGATTAAAAATGTGTTCACTGTGACAGTGGACAATGCTTCTTCTAATGATACAGCTATGTGATTTTTTAAAAGCAAGTTGTTGTCTTGGGGTTCTTCTTCTGTTAGGGTGCAGTATATGCACATGAGGTATATAGCCCATATCTTAAACTTAGTGGTTCAAGATGGCTTGAGGTTTGCAGATGAGTCAGTTAAAAGGGTGAGGGATACAGTGAGATGGGTTAGGAACTCACCTGCTAGGTTGAATAAGTTCAGAGAACTTGCTGAACTCATTAGGGTGGAAGCCAAATCAGCTTTGCAGCTTGATGTCCCTACAAGGTGGAACAGCACCTACCTTATGCTCAACACTGCAATTCAATATCAAAGTGTCTTTGACTCATATCATCAAAATGATCCTTCTTTTTCTGCTGACTTGGGTTCTGCACCTTCTTTCCTTGATTGGGAGACTGTTGAAAGCTTAATGAAGCTTTTGAAAACTTTTTATGAAATGACAGTGAGAATATCTGGTTCTCTTTATGTCACTTCTAACACATTCTTCTCTGAGATCTCTGATCTCAGTTGCATGCTGGAAGATATGACTAAAGCTGAGAGAACTGAAAAGGTAAAAAAACTTGTGCAATTTATTTGTGTAATTCTGTATATCTTGTAAGTTGTTTACTTGTTTGTGTTTTTAAATGCTTATGCTTTTTGAGTTTCTGCATTTATTATGCAATGGGGACAAAAATGAAAGAGAAGTTTGATAAGTACTGGGGAGATCTAGAAAAAATGAACCATATTATTTTCTTTGCCAATATTCTGGATCCTAGAGATAAGGAGGAGTACATGACTCACCAGTTTGTCCAGTTGTATGGAGAGGTCAAAGGCAAAGAATGTTTTGCCAAGGTCCAAAATTCAATGGTTGCATTGTATAATGACTATGCAGCTACATACTCTGACAGTTCATCCTCTAACCAACCTGTCCAGTCTCAGCCTACTACTTGTAAGTTGGTAGGCCTGTCTCAAGGATGAAGAGTGAACTTTAAAAAAAAAAAAAAAAAAAAGAGACTGGAGAGTGGTGGTGGAAGCAGTAAGCAGACAGAGCTACAAATTTACTTGAGTGAAAATCTGGTTGAGGATGAAGAATCTGTGAGTTTTGATGTTCTAAAGTGGTGGAAGAATCATAGTGAGAGATTTCCTATTATCTCCAAAATGGCTAGAGATGTACTTGCAGTTCCTATTTCCACAGTTGCATCTGAGAGTGCATTTAGTACAAGTGGGAGGGTGCTTGATGCATTTAGGAGTTCCTTGACTCCTAAAATTGTGGAAGCCCTACTGTGTACCCAAGATTGGTTGAGGTTACATAATCAGCCAATCACACTTGAGGAAAATTTAGATGAGGTTGAAAGATTGGAGAAAGGTAAAAATATCCATTAAAAAATAGTTTCTTTTTTACTTTTGTAACTTGATAGTCTAGAACTAATTACATATTTACTTAACTGTTTTGCAGAGTTACCCACTGGAGCTGCAACTACTGTACCATCAATGCTGCCATCCATTCCTGTAATGTTTTCCATAATTATTATTTGTTTAACTAATTATTTATCTTTACTGATGTTGTACTGTTGTTTGTTGTTGGCCTACACAAGATGCAACTACTTAACAGTCTGAGTGGCTTGGAAACTTTCTATAATTATATTATAGAAATGTTGTTGGCCTACACAAGATGCAACTACTTAACAGTCTGAGTGGCTTGGAAACTTTCTATAATTATATTATAGAAATGTTACCCCACTTAGAGTTGAGCAGTATTTAGTATTCAGTAACCAGTACTGGTATCCCTTACTCCCATTACATCCATTCTGGATCTCTTGTATTCCTCTCACCCTCTGAAATCTGAATTGATCTCTGTTGATGCATTATTATTTATTACTTATTTTTTTGGCAATGATGATGCTTCCACCACTGTCTGAAAAAAATGGTATAGTGTTGCTATGTTGCTCATGTGTTATTATAACACATTTGAGCAATTTGCCACTATCCTTACTTGAAATGGAAAATTGCAATCTGAGTCTACTATTGTTACTTAGTTAGCTGTTTACTACATATGTTGTCTAAATGTCTAATAATCTAATACTGTGTTAAGTTTTCATATGAACAGGAAGAAGTGTAGAAATGGTGATTGATGCAAGCTGATTTGCTGATTTGAAAAGACCTAGATTCGAATTTTTGATGTTTTGGAATTTATAACTTAAACTTGGATTAAGTTTGTATTTTTGGTTTACTTAAATTATTTAGCTCTGCAAAATGCAAACTGTGCATTAAAAAGTTGTTGCATGTAATATTTTGTTTACTTATTAATTATTACTTGTTTCAGTTTTAAATTTTCTATTATTAATGACCTTTTCCAAATCCGACTTAAGTCCGACAATCCGATCCGATCAATCCGAAATCCGACATTGCATATCTGATAGGGTTTTAATTACAAAAAAAAACGGATAGAATTCCAAAATCGCAATCCGCAATCCGATCGGATGGTCAGAATATCAATCCAATCCGTCCGATGCTCAGGCCTATCCCAAACCCAAGAAAGCTTTTCAGAAACCATTGATTCATGTGCAACAATGAGAGAGGTTTCTAAGAAGACAGTACAAAGATGCTTATTAATCCATTGACATTTTTTCAAAAAAAAAAAAAAAACAATTGACATTCAAAAGGAAACCAAAAGGCCAAATTTCAGAAGAAGATGAGTATTGTATAAATCCACATCAAGTTAAAGTGGCCCTGGGAAAGTCCCAGTCTCCCTCTGTTCATTCCATTTCTCAACCTGAAAGCAACCAATTGGACGTAGGATTAAAATATAACACGGGTAAATACTTACCAGAGAAAACGGTCAAGTTTTTAGATGGATTACTACTATCAAGATTCGAGAGTGGATTGCAGAAGATGGACAAGAAGAAACCAGCAGAACAAGGTGAAATGGGGAAAGAGGAGACAGATAAAACACACCGGAGACCCCCCCATCATGTATTTTTGGAGAAGGAACATTCCCACAACTTACCACACCATTAGATAATTAGGTTATAGATTCAACCACAAATCTTCATATCAAATGCTCACTTTCAGTAAGAGAATGATTTATGATAAATATTTTGGAAAAGTAACTAAATAATTCTCTTGTAATACTTCCCAATGCTTCGATTGATCTCTTAGCTATAATTTAATTTACTGAAACATGTATAGACACATAATTTATCATCAAAACCAAAGCCCTTATATTGATAAGTTTTCACTTACCCATTCACCTGGGCAAAGTGCCCGATAGTACCTAGCGAATTTCTCACAGTCACCAACCTCCCCACCTTTAGCTGCCACACACCTGAAGTATACGAATAGAGAAATAAGTCAGACCCAGCATTGTAAACATGCCGCTTGCTGCAGATTAAAGACTATACTCAAGTTTACATCACAAGGTCCTGAAGTCATACCCATATATGCCAAGTATTTAAAACAGCCTAGCCTTGGAAACCTAATTGTTTTTAATTTACTAGGTTGCCAGATCATTTCTATTTTGAAAAAATCTCATCACCTAAACAGGTTTAGTGGTTGAAATGTTCGGAGTTCTGTATTCCATGTTTATGTAAGTAGGATATGCATCCATAGTTCAAATGATATTGATGAAGCTAACAAAGGTGTATTAATATGGGAGGGAAAAGTATCCTAGGAGCATATGCAAGCAGTAAACCAAACTAAAGCCATGGAGTTTTACCTGTGAAACTCAACGTAGCGTGTGAAACAATGCCTAGTCTGGTTTGTTGTAGGGAATCGAAAATCAGCTGGAGCAGTCTTCAGCTCAATCTGGGAGAAAGATTAATCAAAAGACATTATTTTAGCGAAAGAGGTCAACCTACAAAAGGTCAATACTTGAAAATATTAAGAGAATTTGGAGCAGCTTCTTTTTTCCTAAGGCACAAATTCATAACTGGAATAAATGAAATGCCATGTTATAAGTTTTTACCCAGCTTGGATAAACTTATGTTTAGCTTTAGCTTATCTACTGCTACTATAAGCAATTATGCTAATTTATTGCCAGAAAAATAGTTTATGGCTTTTGAGAAGCTGTTTTTTTAGCTTATTTATTCTTTTCATTATTGCCCACACATATAACATTGAAAGTAAATTTAAAGATGAAAAAAAAAAAAAATGGTTGCATGGAAAATATGTGCTTGTGATTTCAAATTGCCACCTGGACAATTGTTTTTTCTCGAGACTAGAGAAATTATGACTAGGAAGAAAGCCATGTTCTTTCAGCACTTCTATATTTATCCATTCTCCATTTAGTTTCAGGATAATCTACCATCTCCCCCTATTTTGGGGTCTGAGAGTAAATGATTAGCTAGCTGCAGCTAATAGCAAGAACAACCCCCCCCCCCCCCCAAAGAACATATAGCTCGGTGTCTTAAATTTTAGAACAAGTATGATGCTCCAGCACTGTCTAAAGTTTCATTCTCATTTCATGTGCATATACTAACTGGCCACAAATAGCTCCTCTTTTAATTTTTGGAAAGGAAAACATCAAATTCAATACGCCATATCAGCAAGATTGGCCTATAATGCATTTCATGAAACACCAATTGATAGAAGAACCCTACCCGTACACCATCATGTCAGAGAATCAGAATTAGCAGCAAAATAAAAACACAATAAACTCACAAAGCCTGTGATCACAATAATTATTACAGATCAAGCAATGGCAGTTATGATTAGGCTAAGAACTTATATGCCCACCCAAAAAAAAAAAAAAATCCTAATTAGATTCTATTATACAAATTGACAGATTACCATATGAAATCATTGTACTACAACCAGAACTAAGTATTCAGTGTTAATCAGGTGTATTTTGGTATTACAAATCTATTAAAATAAACAACACAATGGATCCACACAGTTTCGAAATTTATCATACCCGAATACCCGATCAACTTTGTCTTCTTAGTACGCGTTTCAATTTCACTAATCAATCCTAAAGCACATCAATTATCAGTATTCAGCTCAACGAAAACCTCAAAATCCCACAAATCGATTCTAAAATGGACAAAACATACGCATCCAAATCATACTGAATTCAGATCAGTTCCAAAATTTCCAGATCATCAAAACAACACAGCTATAGAAGGAAAAAAAAAAAAAAAAACAATCATTTCGCGACACATATGGAAACGAAAATCGAAAAGGAATGATTCTGAGATTGTTTTACCTCGGCCATTGATGATGAGCAGCGAACAAAATTTCCCTTCCTGTGTGCGCAGCCGGTACAATTATGACGATATTAGAGTTGGGCAAATTTCTGTTAAAACTGAACAGATGAATTTTGGTTAACCATTAAACTTCCGTTCCGTTGTTGTGGTATTGTCGTGTGATTGTATATTTTGTTATGGATTTATTATTATAGGTGTTATTTTAATTGAATTTATTATTATAAATATTATTTTTTTAAGATTTAAAACTTTAGCTTAAAAATCTTCGATTAATCAACCAATTAACCGAAAAAACTTCAGCTCAATTAATTCGATAATACAAAGTTCGGTTCGATTAACAATTAAAATTGTAAAAAATTTCGATTAAAAACTTCAATTAAAACGATTTGGTTAATCGATTGCACACTCCCATACGAGATCCCATGGCGCTATATTGTGGGCCAGCAATACGACCTATCCTGTTTTCTTGCAATCGTTATACCCTGCCCCGCGCCTCCCAAAACGATGTCGTTTTGGGAAGCGCGGAAGAGAATTGACGTGATTATGTGTATTTGTTTATATCATTATGTGTATTTGTTTATACAATTATGTGCTTTTTTTTATACAGTTATGTGTGTTTGTTTATATAATTATGTGTATTTTTTTATACAGTTATGTGTGTTTGTTTATACAATTATGTGTATTTGTTTATACAATTATGTAAAACGACGTCGTTTTGCATCAGGGCCACAATGCAATGCATGCCCTGATGCACAATATAAATTGCCGTTTTCTTGTGGTACTAATTTATTAAATAAAAAAATAAGGGAGAATTTCATCATTTCATGCACATATTTATGGATCTATTTTCTTTTTCTACTTTTTTTTCTAGAGAAATCAATCACTACTAAAAAATGTACATTACATCTATTTTCTTCTTCTTAGCCCGTTAAAAGTAAACCACGACTAAAACTTGACTAGATTAGTTTTACAATTTCATACATTAAATGCAGATACTAGGGCAGTATGTCGAGAAACAAAAGATGTGTTTGGGGGGGTGGAGAAAAGAAACAACATCAACTAAAATGTTGAAACTACAATTTTAATCATTAAAACTTGGATATATAGTTATATATACCATTCTAGTCAATTAGTCATTATGCTCATACATAACTCAGATATGGTTATAGGCTTATAGCCAAATGATAAAGAATGGCACAAAATCTAAAATAAAATTTACAGAAGCAATAGTCAGGGGATTCACATATAATCTACACCTGAGTTTACTGACTAGCAAGCGAAGCTTAATAAGGTCCTCGTCCCCAGGCCCCGGGATTTGGAGGGGCGGCCACGCCTCCAACTCCAGGAGCAGTTCCGCCAGTGCCATAAGGAAACGCCCTTTCTCCCGTAATTTGTGCGGGAGGTCTACCGTAGCCATCCATATAAGGCATGCTAGCGTGCATTGGAGGGGTTGGGTACCCGTAAGGCTGACCATACGAGTGGATTTCTGCATAATAGCAACACGTGTGAATATAAAGTGGGAAAATATGATTAAATACTAGCACGGATTTTATACCTTTCGCTCTCCTCTCAGCATTTAGCAACTCGGTCCGCAATCTTTCCACTTCAGTAGCCTTGGCAACCACGTCGGTCTCCAGAAGTTTCATTTGTTCAACTTTCGCTATGTTTTTACCTTTCTCAAACTCAAATGTCTCGCTTTTGCCACGAAAAATAAAGATCAGTTCAGTAAAAAAAAAAAAACACAAATGTCGCTATCTCATTATAATATTTCAAAAACACGCCTAAACCACATCAGCTACATTTTCACATTTTGATCCCTTTGCACTAACTCGACTGGAAGTGCTACAATCCATTAAACGTCAGAAAACACAATAAAGAACCAGAGAAAAGCCCGCATCGACATAAAAACTCAATAGTTGAAAGCATCCTCAAAGCTAAAACATCTAAAAAACATATTTATCGATGTGAATCCCAAACCAATACTAAAGTAGTGTTAACAGTTTTGTAAAGGTCAAAAAACACTACATAGAACACAAGGAAAAGGAATTAATACCCAATTTAGTCTACAAATATAGTGATTTTTCTCGATTTAGTACTAAAAGTCTTTTAATGTTTAGTTGGGTCCTGGATTTCGATTGTTTTACTTAATTGAGTCATTGGCTATTAGAATCCAGAACTAAATCAAGAAAAACAATTATAGTCGAGGACTAAATTGGGCAAAAGGACTATATTCGATATTAATAGAGGAGAAATTACCAAGTTATCCTAACAAATGACTCAATTAGGTAAAACCATCGATGTTCAGGACCTAATTAAGCGCAAAAAGACTTTTAGGACTAAACCTAGAAAAATCACTATAGTCGATTACCAAATTGGGTATTAACTCCAATGAAAAGCATAAGAAATTTGACAAATGCTCATGCACATTCAAGAATTCAACACGTGGTTAGTCCAAACATACGACTCTTAAGCAATATAAGCAAATAATAATAATAATAATAAAGAGCAATACTAAAAGATTTGCTTACCGTAACTGTTGGTGTTCTTGCTGCAAATTTTCAAGTTCAGCCCGCACTTCTGGTAATTTCTTGGCTTCTAAACGAGTTTTCTCTAATTCTTCAGTAGCGGGCTTTAATTTAGCATCCAACTCTTGAGTAATGGTAACTAAATTTTGTACCTCGTTAATGGATTGTTGTAGATCGTTCTTGATACTATCAGAAGCTTGAACGTCCCCTTCCTTTTTTGCCATCTTGTCCAATATGACCCGAATCTGGATATCACTTTCAGTTCGAATGCTTCTAACATGATCTCGGAGTTTCTCTATTTCCTCGTGAACTGCAGAAATGTCCTGCTTCAAGGTCACATGAGTAGACGCTAATGTATGATTGTCGGTAACGAGCTGCTCTATTTCTGCCGCCTGAGAGACTAATTTGCCCTCCAAAATTTCACGATGAAGTGGATCAACGGAGTGATGTGCAGCGGGCAAAAAACCATAAGATGTCATTCCGGCACCAGGAGTTGAATTCTCATACACTTGTGGAATATGCCTTCCGTTGGCCATATATACAAATTGTCGATCACTATCTTAAAGGGGCAAACGATTACTTGGTCTCCAGTTGCCAAGATGAAACCACCTACAATTTTATCAAAGAATTAGCGCTAGAAAAAAACATGCTTTTCTATCAACGTAGTCAATACAATTCAGGGAAAAGAATCAGAAGCGATCTTCTGTCTCCATTAAAATGACAAACAGCTATTACCCACAACATCTACTTTCTTCTGAACCGCATATTTTATACAGAAACATTCATCAATTCAGAATGTCGAGTCCCAATACAACTTCTTTCCTAACATTTTCACCATAAAGATAAAAACTCTCTTTCAATGTGACAAACACAAAAACATTTCCAGTTTTCTCCTCTTTCTGGCAGCTTCAACTTCCCTTTCTCTACATCCCCATACATCATACTCAAAAAATTCTACTTTCGCAACATTTTCCACACAAATGGCATCACAATTCATCTCCCAATTAGTGCACATAACAACTAAAATGTGTAAACATTAGGAAAAAGGAATCAAATAGCTCTAAGGAACTGACAAAAGAGAGAAAAGAAAAAGAATTCTGAATTCAATCATATACACTGCAATAGAAATCCAGAAACAGTTATGAAATCAACCAAAAGTTCTACCAAGAGTGATAAAGAATATGTTTTTATCTCTAATAATGGATTGCACTTTCCAGAAAGAAAAAAAAAAAAAAAAAAGATTGTGCAATTATCGTGCGTGCAGGAGCTAGGGTTTCGAATTCAGGGCACAATTATCTCCAAACCTAACAAATCTCTAACAATGTTGAAACATTTGCGATAGTATAAGACACCCAAAATCCATAGGATGTTCTTGCTTGTTCAGTTGCTCCATACAAGCATCATATTTCATTCAAAAAACAACAACAAAAACAAAATTGTATGTATATCATGCGTGGGTATAACAAACGGTAGATCATACCTTCATATAGAGACACCTGCAGAGCTTCCTCTCTAGGAAGCAAGTGGCCAGGGAAGAACTTCGTTCTGAGAGTTTGATACGAGGAGCGAGAGAGAGAATTAGAGTATACTAGGAAGTAGGAAGGCTTGTCTTTCTCTTCTCTCTCTCTCTCTCCCTACGTTTTTTTCTCCTTTGGATATAAATGTTGATGAAATTACAAACTCGCCCTTAAGATTTTGCATAGAAACTCAAAAAAAAAAAAAAAAAAAAAAAACCTTGCCTTTTTTTTTTTTTTAGGTGTAAACCTAGCCCGTTCGCTCCGAGAGACGCGGGAATCATTGCTTGTGGGAATCGAACTCGGGTTATCTCGAGCTCATTTACCATCTGAGCTACCACCCCAGGTTAAGATCGTGTGGTTTAATAGCACCAAGGTTGGACTCCCATATGAAAGGTTATGGATTCGAGTTTCAATAGAAGCGGTATTGACTATTTGTGCTTCAGTAGGCTGAACAAATACTACAACACTTTTTTTTTTCCCTAAAATTGGCTTAGAAATTTCTCTTGCAATTTAAGACTTTGTGAGGTGTTAGAAGTCGAGGTTTGAGGATCATGCATGGCATTTATGTGTTGCATGTGTTAAAGGTTGTAAATATACTACGGTTAAGAAAAACGTTCAAAACACAGTAAGATGTTTAACTGGAGACATGGAGTCGATGCTCCTGCTTAATCTTGTGGAGTATTGCAGCCTTGTCAGAGAGAGTTACGGTAGAATATTGAACACTTTATAATAATATCTATGTTGCATGAACATGTTTTGATGCTTTGGATGTTTCTATGACTTTTCATCAATTATTATTATGGGCCATATTAGTGTGGGGCAGATAAAATAGAGAATGGTGATGAAATTACAAACTCACCCTTGACTCCCTTGAGGTTTTGCATAGAAACTCAAAAAAAAAAAAAAAAAAAAAAAGTTAAAGTGTTATCTCGCACCATGAACTATATTGGATTCTACATGCCGCACCTTGAATTTTCATAAGTGCAATTTAAATTTTTTCACCTAGAATTTTTTACAGGTTACAGGTAATCTATGTTGACATGGACTTTTTTTTTTTTTTTTTTCTTCTAATACATTGGCCATCCTCCGGGAGTCGCTGCCACTGCTCCTTCAATCTCTCAAGTTCTTTCCTCAACTCCCCTACGAGGGTTCATTGTAGGCGTTGTCACTGCTCCTTCGAACTGTTCATGTTCCCAGAAGATCCGAATGAGGTCATTGTAGTCGTCGGTAATGACTTAAAGCTCCCGTCCACTTCGGAGTGATAGGAGAGTTCGTAGTCGAGCAACGTCCGGTCGTCTAACAACTCAGCTCTATTGACATAAACTGTTATCCTACTCACCGGAATACCGTCCGGAAGAGTGAACATTCGACGATCAAGCTTTAGCGGTGTTGAGTCCACAACCTGAAACCACCATAAAACAACAACTTAACCCCTCTCAATTATCAGCCCATCACTGCAACTATGATCCTCCCGCAGCTTTGAATCAAACTTTAATAAAAAAAAAAACACCATTTTATTTAAAATTTAATTTAGGGAAAATGGCAGTTCTTCCCCCTAAGTTATATACTTATAGCACTTTCTCCCCCTGAATTATTCAAGTGGCTGTTTTTTCCCCTGAAATGTTAAATGGACATATTTACCCTTAAAATAAATATTTAAAATAAATATTTCATTTATTTTCCTTCTCCAACAAATTATGACAACAATTTGGTTCAAACCAAACAAACACTATAGCAACCAAACCGAAATATTCCAATTACAATTTATAATCGAAATTCGATATTTAGAGTTTATTAAAATCGCGAACCGGAACGGACGATTCATGTTTCGAACTGAAAAAATAAAATACATTTATTTTTAAATTTCGACTATTTTAAAATAAAAAATAAAATTTTAAAATAAAGACGATTCAAAATCGCGAACCGGATCCAGAACCGCCGATTCACGGTTCAAGATCCAATTTTTTTTATTCATAATTTTAATAAATTGAAATCCAAATATTAGGTTCTAGATCTGAATCATAACCGGAAACTTTTAATTCAATTGCTATAGTGTCCGGTTCAGTTTGATCTGAACCGTGATCATCCCTACGTTACGCGATAATTTGTTGCAGAAGTAAAATAAATAAAATGTTTACTTTAAGGGTAGAAATGTCAATTTAATATATTAGGGGGAAAAACCACCACTTTTAGAATAATTGAGGGGGCTAATGTGCTTACCTAAATAATTGAGGGGGAAAAATGACTATAAGTATATAACTCAGGGGGAAAAAGTGCCATTTTCTCTTTAATTTAAATAAACGTGTTGGTGCATCTGGAAGTCACGAAATAATCTTATATGGAGAGGAAAAGCATGGCGGCTTAATAAGGAAAAAATAGCATCCACGTGATTAATAAATGAATGGAAAGATAGCGCCACTCAGCCAGGGGTAGAGACTGTATCACCGCCAGTAATGGAGCATCCGACCCTGAACGGAACCTTCTCGCTGAACGTGGATGCAACAGTATTCCCAAAAACACAATCGGCTAGTTTTGGGGTGGTTGTTCGAACACACATAGGTGAGGAACATGGTCTCATATGGGAAAGAAAGGGTGAAGGAGAAGCTTAAACATGGAATGACGAAAATATCACTAAATTACCCGGTTGGGAGACAAAATTTTTAAGATGGATTAAAAATGGAACACTTATAATAAAAGTGCAGTGGTTGCAATGGGACAAGACAATAATAGTGGACTAAAATTGAAATGATCCCTACCAAAAATGGAATTAACTCTTATAATAAAGAGATAAGAAGTGAAACAAACTCTTATAAACTACACGTTTACATTCCATTGGCTATCATCATTCGTTTGGGTCAAAGAAAGTGGAGCAAAATCAATATCACATTATATATATGATGAGTAGGCGTAGCATGTCAATATAATGCCAATTTCTTATTTTTATATTATTTTACCAATAATCTTAAATTCATGTTTATCTTGAATTCCATGCAAGGCCAATGATCAAACAATCCTTTTTGACTTTATGCATTATGTGACTATAATACCTAGAGCACTACAACTTATACATTATTATGCAGCACGCACATACCAACGGCATATTTATTTGTATTCACACTTCTAAAGCCTTAGCTTAATTATTGTATTTCAATAGTTTTTCCACCTTCATTTGTGTCTTCTTAGGCTCTGTTTGGCAACGCTAAGCTAGGAGCTTATAGCTTATAGCTTATTTTAAGCTACTAATAAACTATAAGCTCTGTTTGGTAATGTTCCCAAAATAAGCCCTTAACTTAAAATAAGAGCTTATTTTAGAATGCTACTTTAGGTAGCGTTTCAAAATAAGCTACTATCTTCATAACTTTTTTTTCCATCTTTACCCTTATTATTTTAAAATAATGACATATTTTAACCTTATGAATTAAAACTCTTTCTCTTTCCCTATCCCAACTTTCACGTCAATCCCTTCCTTAATCTTGTTTACTGCTAAACAGTTATGTTGAAACTTTAGCTTATTATTATTATTATTATTATTATTATTATTATTATTATTATTATTATTATTATTATTAATGTTATTTTAAAATTAGCAATAGGGCTTCAACCAATGACAACTTGGATGGAGAGAATTTTAAGTGGACCAACGAGAACGTGATGTCTTTTTGTGAGATTTGTATCAAATATATTCGAAAGCATGGGCGTGGGTTAATGAAATGGAAGGAGATTAAAGAAGAGTTTGAAGCTACCGCCAAACGGAAAATTGCACATAGAAGCAATATGTAAACAAACTAATTTAAATTTTATGAAGATGTCCTTTTTAGTCTTTTTACATTTATCAGCTTATCAAAAAGCTAATTTTACCAAACACTTTCAATCATAACAGCTATTCAATTTTCAGCTCCGAGCTTATAGCTTTTCAGCTTTCAGCTCCTTTTCAGCTATCAGCTCCTAGCTTATAGCTTTTCAGTTAGGTTTGCCAAACAGAGCCTTAATCATCATTCAATATTATTTTGACAAAACACACACTGATGTATGTATATAATAAGATAATAATTAATTACTAATGTCAAACTAATTAAGACGATGCATGTTCACACTTCCCACTATATATGTATGTATAGTAAAATTGTTTGGCCATGTTTATATTGTATTAGAAAATTTTACAATTTAAATCTCCAGACCAGTTGTCACACCCAATAAAGATGTCTACAATTCAGCGAGGGGATTAGTTACGGTAGGACGAAACCCTGGATACAAAAAAAAAAAAAAAAAAAAAAAACTTTACAATGAATTAATTAAATAGCCTCTTATTAGATATATGGTAATTAATTAAATTATACGAAGTAATCAATAAATAAATAGTATAATATTGAAAATGAATCATGCCTATTATTATAAATAGAAAGGGATATTGATATTCTTAAAATAACTATCATTTTATTTACAAAAATGACATTGTTCATTTTTATTTTTAGTAGTAAGTAAATATTTATTTTTTAGAATTTTATATTATAATATTATGGGGGAAACATTGCTTATTCCGATCTTAGCTTCAACCATTAGTCAATAGTTGATTTGGTCCACCATTGTAGCATGCATGAAGACAAATACCACCCTTAAAGCCTTAATAAGTTCACATTGTTACCAAATTAGTTAATATGTTAAGGTTCATCTTAATTAATATACACTTCATTAGGGCTATGTTTGGCAAACCTAGCGGAAACGGTAGCTGAAAGCTTAAAAGGAACTGAAAGTTGAAAAGCTATAAGTTAGGAGCTGAAAACTGAATAGCTGTTAAGCTATGCTTAAAAGTGTTTGGTAAAATTAGTTTTTTGATAGGCTGATAAATATAAAAAGACAAAAAAAAACATCTTTATAAAATATAATTAATTTGTTTACATATTAAAATGTAACATTTTGTCTTAAAAAAAAATAAAAATTAACATTTTGCAATAAAATTATTGGCATAATCATTGGTAGGATATATCCCGACCGACCTATGGTGTTCTCCGCGTCATTTCGCTACAACTCCTTTGCCCGAGTGCTGCAGCGGGAAGGCGGTCGGTACCGGTCGTCCGTGTGACCTTGTGCTGACCTTCTGCTTAGAGGCGTTCGAGCCCGATCGACCAACCCACCTCCCGACCGGTGTTCTGCTCGACCGCCGTACTTTTGCGCCACGTGGAAGCGGTATCGATGGAAAGGCGCACGTGGCAACGCCAGACGTTGACATAGGGTGGCCACCAGGCTTTGGCACGTGGATGCCGCGTGGAGTACATACCGATAAGCCGGACGCTGTCCTCGGCGATACGCTATAAGTATCCACGGCGGATAAGGCGAAAGGGACTTTTGGAATGATCAAGATGCTACTTACAGAGCAGCCCGACCGCAGTCAATCGGCCCTCGGAGTAGTCATTTAGATTGTACTAGGTCACCCGTGTATTTACACTATCATTTTGGCGCCGTCTGTGGGTATTGGTACAATTAGTCACGAACGACGAAATGCCTACATCCCAAAACATGTATCCATATATGCAAGATATACAGGAGGATGCAGACAGCTCTTCCGACCATCACACACAGTATGGTCCAACTGTCGACCTGAACCTCAACCTCTCACCCCCTCACTTGGTGGCTCCTAACCTGGTCAATTATGTCAAACCGATATATCCGCCACCTGGTCAGCAATTCCCGTACCTGGGATACTTTCCGCATCCAGCACCGCCCGCTCCGTATGGTTACTGGCCCGGGACCACAATGTACTATCCGCCGAGCAATTATCAACCTTATAGGCCTGCGTACATGGCTCCAGCTTCTGCTCCCCCGAACCAACCAGCCATGCAGACCGAGTCCGAGCTTCAGCCCGGTCCCCGGACTAGGCGCTCGGCTCGCTCGAGGTTGGGATCGCAGGGGGCAGGGGCACCGGAGGAACCACGACAGGAAACTAATGTTCACGCGGCGGATGAGCCTGAGCCCCAAGACAATCGCACGAGCGCGTTTGAGCGTCTTCGACCGGAAATGCGTCAACGATTGGGACCACAGGACCCGGATAAGCGGTCGGTTGACTCACCTATGCGCGCGGCCAGTCAAGCGGAATCATCAGGACACAGTGGACCTCACGTACACCGTCGCCGTCGAGCAAGCCCGGATGACCGAGCAAGATGACACCCGGGGAATGGTGAACGAGCTGCGTGCAGAATTCACTCGATGGCGGTATGAGCATGCTTTAGGGCCTCCGGATCACACCGCGTCATTATTGTGAACCCCTTTCACAGCAGAAATCATGGTTCAGCCGTACCCGCTCGACCTGCGCATCCCCGGTAATAAGGAATATGATGGACGAACAGACCCGGAGGTCTACATCAACACCTATTATGGGAACATGCTGATGATGGGTGTGAGCGATGCCGTGATGTGTCGAACTTTCTACTCGACGTTATCTGGACGAGCAGCCGAGTGGTTTAGAACGTTGGACCCAGGATCTATCTCTTGTTTCGCCAACCTGGCGACTAAATTCACTCGAAAGTTTGTAACCTCGAAAATCATCCGGAAGCCTTAAATGTACCCAATGTTGCAAAAAACGTTAGGCGCCGATTTTTTATTTAATTTTTTTTATTTTTTAATTAAAAATAAAATTAAAAATTAAAAAATTTCAAAATTTAGTAATAATAAAATATAAGGCTTCTGGTAGGGAATATCCCGACCGACATAGCTTCACCACGACCGACTTTGCCTTTGTCTTTTTCTTCTGATCTTTGCAGGTAGCAGGTCGGGCTTTTTTCATGAAGACCCCGGTCGGGAACGGCCGGGAGTTGCCCGAGCGACGGTGTCGACCACCGAGCGGTAGCCCTTTGGCGAGAGAGTTGATGAAGGACACGTGGCGGCTCTCTACATCGACAGACAGGGCACCCGGGAGGATGACACGTGGTGGCTACGTGGAGGACATGCCGAACGGCTGGAATCTTGTCCCCGGCATGGCGGCTATAAATACCCACAGTAGCTACAGTGTAGGGGACTTTTGGACGATCGATAGGTTGTTGTTAGAGAATCCCGACCGCAGTCAGTCGGTACTCAGAGCAACCAAGTAGATTGTACTTAGGGCCTCTATTGTGATCAATAAAGTCCTTTACTTGCTTTAATTGGTCTCGTGTTATTACATATTGCTTACGTATAATTAGCAGTATCATTTTGGCGCCGTCTGTGGGGACCCGTGCAAGAAACCAACGTCTTGACGAGCACCCGATCTCTATATCAACATGTATCCGTGGGCACACAACAACTTTGCCGACGACCAGGCGGATGCGGCGAGCTCCTCCGACCACTATGCTACCCAACAGCAGGGTCAGACGATGGACCTCAACCTCAACCTCTCACCACCGCATCCGTCAAATGCATACCCGGCCACCCAGCAGCCGGTGAATTACATACAACCGGGATACCCAACACCCGGCCTGCCATACCAGCAGCAGCCGATGATGTATCCCGCCCAGTATCCCTACCCGGTCCCACCTCCGCCGTATGGGTATTGGCCAAGCCAACCGATGTGCTACACTTCCCCGGTTGGTTATCCACCGTATACGCCAGCTTATACAGCTCCAGCCGCCGCCCCTCCAGTACAACCGACCGCACAGGTAGAGCCGCAGCGTCAGTCCGCATCCCGGGCTCGACGCTCGGCTCATTCGCGGTTGGGGTCGGGGGGTGCTGATGCGATGGAGGCACCAGCTCAAGCCGTCCAAGCGGAGGACCCTGAAGAAGTTGCCCGAGCGGTAGCTTTTGATCATCTTCGACCGGAGATGCGCCAGCGTTTGGGACCCCAAGACCCGAACCGCGGGCAAGAGGACGTACAGATGCAGGAGGCTAGCCAGGAGGCTTCATCTGGGTATAGCGGGTCAAGATCTCACCGACGGCGACGCGCTCGGGATACAGCCCAAGCCGCTCAAGCCGCCGAGCTCAACGAAACCCGAGGATTACTCTATAACCTCCAGGCGGAAGTTGCGCAGCTCAGGAATGCGTACCCTGCAACACCCCCGGTCAACCAATCGACCCTGCACCAGACGCCTTTCACAGCAGCGGTAATGGCCCAGCCTTACCCGCTTGACTTAAAGGTCTCTGGGGAGAAGAGTTATGACGGGCGGGCAGATCCTGAGGCCCACGTGAATGATTTTTTCAGCAACATGATGCTGAAGGGCGTTTCGGACGCCGTGATGTGCAGGGCCTTCTACTCGACCCTCACCGGTCGAGCGGCCGAGTGGTTCCGTACCCTGCAACCGGGGTCGATCGATAAATTTGAGACCCTGGCGATCAAATTTGTGAGGAAGTTCATCACTTCCAAAGTGGTGAGGAAGTCCTACATGTATCTCGAGAAGGCCAAGCAATTAGAAGGGGAAAGCTTGACCGATTTCCTCATCAAATGGAAAGCAGCGGTCGGGGAGGTTGAGCCTATGGACGATGCGACCGCCACCCACATGCTTCACATATCTCTCCGGGCGGGACATTTGTATCAGGACTTCATCCTACACCCCCCGACCAGTTACGAGGAGGCCCTTCGGAGGGTCACAGACTATGCCAACGCCGGCGAGGCGAATGCCGTAAAGCGCTTGCAGGAGGTCGGCTCTTCGTCCCGTAAACCGGCCGGCCGGGCGGAGCATCGGTCAGGAGATGACAATCCCCGATCCCGCACCAGGCCTGGCGAGTTTACGGCCTTGAACCGATCCGCAGCGGAGGCCATGCAGTACGCCCAGTCCTGCAATCTCATCAAACTCCCCCATCCCGATCGAGACGGCCCTGACAAGAGTAAGCACTGTGCTTACCATCGATGTGCCGGGCATGATACCGAGGAGCGTACCCACTTACGCCAATTGTTGGAAGATTTGCTTAACAGGGGAAAATTGGACAAGTGTGTGGGGAAGAGAGAGGACAACAAGAGGAACACCGAGCGGAGGGATCATAGACGTTCCCATCACCGCTCTGATCGATCTGGGCAAGACAGAAGGGACGGTCGACGGGATGATCGTCATGATGACCGGCGGGACCCCGACCCTCCATCTGGCAGCCGCCCGTCCGGAAAGCCTACCATCCACGTCATTTTTGGTGGACTGGAGGATGCTTCCCGACCGCGGACTAATTGCCCAGTCGCTATAGTGGATTCCCGGGGAACCGGGAAGAGGCAGAGGATGGAACCCATAACCTTCACCCTCGAGGACCAACCTACCAGCAGCGACCACGGCATGGAGGTGCTCGTAGTCACGATTGACGTTAAGGGCACAGACGTCCAGAGGGTTATGGTTGACACGGGCAGCAGTGTGAACGTCCTATACTTGGACGTGTTTGAGAAGCTTGGCCTCGACAGGAAGGAGCTGACTCCGGTCGGTGTACCACTGTCAGGATTTACCGGGGCTCTTATTTACCCCGAGGGAAAAATAACGCTCCCGGTCGAGATCGGCACACCTCCGAAGTCGATCCAAACGGAGCTAGAATTTGTTGTGGTCAACCTCCATTGCGTCCACAACATTATCTTGGGCCGACCGGCCATTATGAAGATCGGTGGGATAGTTTCTATGCCCCACCTGTGCATGAAATTCCCCACCCCTAATGGGGTCGGCGTGGTCCGTGGCGATGTCCAATCCGCCCGGAAGTGTTACACCCGAGCGGTCAATAGACGTGACACCGGTCCATCCTCCCGGGTGAACACCATAGCCAAGGAGGAGGCTAAGGAACGGAAGGAGCAGCCTGAGCCTTCCGAAGAAATAGAAGAAGTTCCCCTGTCCGAGGACCGCCCGGACAGGAAGATCAAGATTGGCCGAGCCCTCACCCCCGAGCTTCGAGCGGAAGTTTTGGCCATACTCCGGGAGTATGCGGATATCTTTGCGTGGGGGCCTGAAGACATGCCTGGGATCGATCGATCGGTCATCTGTCATAAGTTAGCCGTCGATCCCGCAGCAAAGCCGGTCGTGCAGAAGACACGACACCTTTCCTCCGATCGCCGCGAGTTTGTTAGAGAAGAAGTCAAAAAGATGGCGGCGATCGAGCACATCCGTCCGGTGGTCTATCCTAAGTGGGTGGCAAATATCGTTCTTGTTCCTAAGCCCCCAGCATGGAGGATGTGCATCGACTTCACGGACCTCAACAAAGCCTGTCCGCTCGACCCGTATCCTCTACCGAGCATTCACCAGATGGTCGACGAGACGGCCGGGGCCGAATTAATGAGCTTCATGGATGCCTTTAAGGGGTACCATCAGATCATGATGCACCATGAAGACGAGAGCAAGACAGCCTTCGTGACCCCGGATGGGCTGTATTGCTACCGAGTGATGCCGTTCGGCCTCCGGAACGCAGGAGCGACCTACCAAAGGATGGTCAACATGCTCTTTGCCGATCTATTGGGCCGAACGATGGAAGCTTACATCGATGACATGCTGGTCAAGAGTCGGGACCGATCCGACCACACTCGGGACCTCCGGGAGTGCTTCCAGATCATGAGGAAGTACCAGTTGCGGCTGAACCCGACCAAGTGCACGTTCGCGGTTCAGACCGGCAAGTTCCTCGGCTATATGATGACCAAGAGAGGAATCGAGCCTAACCCGGCCAAAGTAAAAGCGATTCTGGACATGCAGCCACCTTCCACCGTTCGAGAGGTCCAGCAATTGATCGGTCGGTTGGCAGCCCTCAGCCGGTTCCTCTCCAAGCTAGCCGAGCGCGCTTTACCTTTCTTCAAGGTATTGCGGAAGGTTAATGGATTCGTCTGGGACGAAGAATGCCGAGCGGCTTTTGATGAGCTGAAGGAGTATCTCATGTCACCGATCGTGCTCTCAAAGCCTGAGCTCGGAAAAGAGCTAGACGTATACCTCGCCGTGTCCGATCGCGCAGTAAGCGCAGTGTTGTGCCGAACCGATCCGGAAGGGGTCCAGCGACCGGTGTACTATGTAAGCCACGCGCTACATGGTCCCGAGCTCCGGTATTCCCGGCTAGAGAAGGTCGTTTACGCCTTATACACTGCCGCGAAGAAGTTGGCTCCCTACTTCCAAGGTCGAGCAATTCGCGTGTTGACCGATCAGCCGATCGGGCCAGTCCTCCGAACTGCTTCATCATCAGGTCGCCTGGTCAAATGGGCGTTAATGTTGACCCAGTACGCGATCGAATACCGACCAAGACCAGCTATTAAAGGT